GTCTCAAACCCGCAGGCTCAGGCAATCCACTCACCTCAGCCTCCCAAAGACGTGGGATTATAGGCTGAGCCACCGAGCCCGGCTTCAGCTAATTTGTTTAACAATTATTTTGTAGAGACAAGATCTCGCTCTGTTGCCCAGGCTCAGTGTGATCATGGTTCACTGCAGCCTCAAATTCCTGGCCTTCAAGTGATCCTCCAGCCTCAGCCTCCCAAATTGCTGGGATTACAGGTGCAAGCCACCATGCCCAGCTTATTTTATTTCTACTTTAAAAATTAATTACAGAAAAGTAGAAGGAAAATAAGACTGCTATAATCCCACCACCCAGAAATCACCACTTCTCATCATTCACATTTAGTACTTCCCAGTCCTCTTCAGTGGGAGAGAAGCATGGTCCTGGTACAAGAGCAGACACATGGAGACCAATGGATCAGAGTAGAGAATCCAGAAATAGACCCGAACACCTACAATCAGCTATCTTTGACAGAGCAGACAAAAACATGCACTGTGGAAATGATACCCTATTCAACAAATGGTGCTGGGAAAACTGGATAGCTACATGCAGAAGAATGAAACTTGATCCATATACAAAAATTAACTCAAGATGAATTAAAGCTTAAATGTCAGACCCGAGACCATAAAAATCCTATGAGAAACTCTTCTGGACATTGGCCTAGGCAAAGAATTTATGGCTAAAACCCCCAAAACAAATGCAACTAAAACAAAAATAAGTGGGACTTAATTAAACTAAAAAGCTTCCACACAGCAAAAGAAATAATTAGCAGAGCAAATGGGCAACCTACAGAATGGGAGAAGATAATCGCAAACTATACATCTGACAAAGGACTAATATCCAGAATCTACAAATAATTCAAACAAATCAGCAAGACAAAAGCAAATAACCCCATTAGAAAGTGGGCAGCCAGGCACAGTGGCTCAAGCCTGTAATCCCAGCACAGGTGAGAGGATTGCCTGAGCCCAGGGGTTTAAGACCAGCCTGGGCAACTTGGCGAGGCCTTGTCTCTACAGTAAATAAAAAAATAGCCGTGCATGGTGGCGCATGCCTTAGTTCCAGCTACTTGGAAGGCTGAAGTGGAAGGATCTGAGCCCAACAGGTCAAGGCTGCTGTGGCCCTGAGCATGCCACTGCTCTCCTGCCTGGGTGACAGAGTGAGACTCCAACTCAAGAAAAAAAAATGTGGGCAAATGAAATGAACAGACATCTCTCAAAAGAAGATATACAGATGACCAACATATGAAAAAATGGTCAACATCACTATCATCAGGGAAATGCAAATTAAAACCACAGCGAGATACCACCTTACACACAGTTCGAGACCCGCCTGGGCAGCGAGACCTCATCTCTACAATAAATCAAAAAATCAGCCGGGCGTGGTAGCACAGGCCTGTAATTCCGGC